TATTTGTTATATGAATACAGCATTGCATGATGAAAAGAATATCAGACTTAGAATCAGAAGACTTGGTTCAAGCTCTGATTTCAACACTTATGGTCATTGGACCATGTGGCAAGTGACCTGATTTCTCTGAGCCTCAGATTCTTTATCTGTAAAATGGAGATTCATTTCAATTAAATTCACCTCAATTCAACAAGTATTTACTGAATGCCTACTATGTGCCAGGCAGAATGCTAGGCACTGGGGCTCTAAAGAAAAAACACAACAGCTCTTACCTTCAAAAAAACTTACATCCATGGTGGAGGAGGGGTAGGAACTGGGGAAGATGACAATGTAAACACAGATAAATCATACAAAAATATACTCAAGGTAATGTCGGAAAGGGTGCCTGGCACATAATAAGCACTCAAAAATGCGTTACCTAAGGAGAAGAGCACGTACAACTGGGAAGACCAAGAAGGCATAATGTAGCTTGAAGGCACCTGAGGTGGCCACCTTTAAAGGAAGCTAGGAATCCGACAAGAAAGAAGTGAGGAAAGACGGCATTCCAGGCATGGAGGACAATACGTGCAAAGGCATACAGTTAGGAGACAGAACGTCACGTATAGGAAACAACAGGTAGGACAGTTTGGTCAGAACACAGAGTAAAAAGGAAGAATGAATGGATGAATGAATGAATGAATGAAGCAGTTATTGAGTATAATAAATGTGCAAAAGCACTGTGCTAAGTCCAATGAATGGGCATAGAGCTGGCACAGTCGATAGAATACAGGGCCTGGAGTCAGAAAGACTCATCTTTGTTCAAATCTGGCCTCAGACGCTTACTATGGCACAGTCACTTAACCCTGTTTGCCTCCATCTTCTCGCGTGTGAAATGAACTGGAGAAAAAAATGGCAAACTACTCCAGTATCTCTGCCGAGAAAACCTCAAATGTGGTCACAAACAGTCAGACCCAAGTAAAACAATTGAATAACAACAATAAAAGGTCCAGGGGATGCAGCAAAGTAAAAACAGCCCTTGCTCTCAGGAAGCTGCCTTCGCGATGGGGGAGATGACACGTAGTTCCAAGGGAATGGGCCCCATAGTACTTAGGGGCCTGAAACAGATAATAATGCCTCTTCTTTAGTGTCATTCCTACTTACAAAACCATCTCAGTTTCTGACGCTGAACTACTGGACAGGACCAAGGACCTGGGTGACAAGAACCTTTTTCCTAGGTCTTCAGCAGCTGTGTCGATAGCATCCACAGAAGCCACTGCCTGGCCACATCTCCAAGAGCTGCTTCCTCAGGTGGCCACTGTGAGGGATGGGCCGGGAGCAGGACTGGTGGTCTGGAAGTACTGCCAGTCCAACCCTTGGGTACACCTACCTGGGGATAGAAGTTAATCAACAGCTGGTGGTGGTAGAAAGGATGATGGGCTCCTTTTCCACCGTGACTGTTCCCCTCAGTAACGGCAGCAGGACTCAGGATGATGAAAGGCTAGTGGTCAGGTGGCGGAGCACTGCTGTTCCCAAGAAGAAGTCGTTTTATTATCAGTCTGGAAAGACAGGCTGCAGCCAAGTTACAAAGAGGCTTAAGTGCCAGAGAGAGGAGTCTATAATTTTTCCTACAGGTACTTCTTGGTCAGGGCAGAGATGAGGTCGAATCTTTAGTAATATCAATTTGGCAGCTGGGTGGAACATGGATTAGAAAGAGGAAATACTGGAGGCAGGGACACCACTTGGAGGATTAATGCAACAGTCTAGGCGAAAGGCGATAAAGGTCTGTCTGAACAAAAGCGGTGGCTATATGAAGAAAGAGAAAGGGACGAATGCGAAAGTTAGTGTAGGGTTAAGAAGCAATAAGATTTGACAACTAATTAGATGTGGAAGAGATGGGGGAGACTGAAAAAATGCGCATGATTTGGATTTCAAATCTAAATGACTGAAAAAATAGGTGCTGTTGACAAAAATAAGGAAGTTAGAAAAATGGACTTTTGGAAAAGAAAATAACGAGTTATGTTTGGGACATGTTGAGTTTGTGAAGTCAATGAAGACACATACAGGATGAAATGGTGAACTGACAGTTGGGGACGTGAGATTAGAGCTCAGGAGAGAAGGGCTATTAAATTTAGGAGTAATCTACATAGTAGTGACCCCTTGGGAGGGGACAAAATCATTAAGTGAGATTATAAGAGAGAGTAGGACCCAGGATAGAGCCCTGGGCTACATCTATTCATATAAAAATCCGCTATTGTGGAAGGCTCTGGAGGGCTAGTTGTCCCTAGGAAATACGTAATGTGCTGCACTTTGTCATAGAAGATCTAGGGGGAGGGGCTCAAGACTGTGGGGAAAGTAGCATGAGTTACATTAAAATTTCTAAAGGAGCACTAGGGAAGAGACAGTTACAGATAAGGAAGAGAATGAGATTCACAGCAAGCCTACAGAGTGGTCTTCACCCAAAAGTTGGGTCAGAGGAGGCCCTAAAGAGAGCAGAGACCAAAGTTGATGAATGCACCTGCACAAGTCAGTATGATTTCCACTGGGTTACTGAGGGTACCTCAGGCAATGTCCTGGTGATGTTCATTCTGAGGCTATGGCCTGAACATTTGGAACTTTGTAGGGAATAGAGAAAAGGGAACTCATTGCCCTCTTGCTCTTGAGGAAGCAGGTTTGGGTAAAGCCCTCAGGCTTTGGTTTTATTTGATGGAAATTTGCCCATGCAACATTTTAGCTTGAAGGGAAACATAAAATCATAGAGTTCAATTCAATAAGCATTTATTAAGCACCTACTCTGTGCTAGGCACTGTGCTAGACACTGTGGGAACTAAAATAAAAATGATCCCTGCCCTCAAGGAGCTTACATTCCACTTAAAACACCTATCTAAACTGTAAGTATCCCCTACTCCAATAACCCACCAAAAGCAGGAATTGTCCCTGTAATATTCTTGTCAGGTGGTCATTTAGTCTCTGCTGGAATACTTAGTCACTACCCATTTCTAAATCCTATGAACCTGTGATCCTGTTTCCAGGGAACGGAAGAACACTACTGCCCATGGACACTACTGCCAGTTCAAACCAGCTCTGGAGAGCCAAATGTTAAATTTTTAGTATGAGCATTTATACTTCAGAAAGTTATTGCTGTGCTGATTTACAGACTTAAGAAAGTGATGGAGAAGTGTTAATAAAGCAGACTAAACTTAAAAGTCTGTCATGCATACAATATTTTCCCCCTCGAGAACCAGCTGTTCTGGGGAACCATCTAGCAGCACACCACCGGCACTACCTCCCTGGGCAGCCCATTCCTTTAAAAGACCGCTTCGAGAGGAACTTCTTAATAACAAAGCAAAATGTATTCTGCAATAACTTCCCTGTAATTAGAGTTCTGCCCTGTGGATAGATATAGTATAAATCTAGTCTCTGTTCCATATGACAGATCACTCAAGTCTTCTTCTCTTTAGGTGAAACATCTCCACTCCTTTCAAACATCACTGTTATGAAATAATATTCAGTCCACTCATGATCCTGACCATTGATATATACTCTGTACATACTCTAGTCTGTCAGTATCCCTCTAAGAACCTGGTATCTAATCTAGAATACAATATTCCATTTGCAGTCTTAACAATACAAGCTACAAAGGGACACCATCTCTCCTATTCTGGGACACTACTATTAATACAGCCTAATGTTGTGGAAGGGAAGGGGCAGTGTTTAGGCATCCACGTTATGTTACCAATCACTGACAGATTGTACCTCACTAAAATCACTAAATTTTTTTTACCTTAAATGGTTTTTTTTCTTTTCTTTTCTTTTCGTTTTCAGTCTATCAGCACATCTATCTTGGACAGGCAAAGTGGACAGACAATGAACTGGGCCCAGATTTGAATATGATGGAGAGATTGCCTTTGGAAGTGGTAGAGTACTCCTCAATGAGCCCAAGCTACTCCATAACACACTCAAATATCCTCCCAACAATGCTATATGGTTACACATCATGGAACACCATGATCCCTCAAGAATCGAAATCATAGGTGACCCCAATGGCTGTTAAACCAGGTCTCCTTTATCCTGTCCTTCTGTAGTTGGTTTTTATGTTTAACCTAAATGAAGCACTTTATGTTTGCCTCTGTTAAACTTAATCATGGAAAGAAAGACAACAAAGCCAAAAGTAAAGTACTTCAGACAAACCTGGAAGGAGACAAAACCAAAATATTTTTTGGCTTGTTTCTTGTTCAATAAGTCATTTTTTTCTATTTGGAATGAAGCAAAAAAAAAGTTGCAAAATACAAAATTCTTCATACCCTTTGACCCAGCAATCTAGATTTATAGCCACAAAGAGGTTATTGACAAGAAAATATTCATGAATGAAATCATTCCATACGTGTTTTCCAAAACACACATTCCTGTGTAAGCACATCTTGCAGTCAGTCAATTATTAATAATTGTGCCAGACACGATGCTAAATAAGTGCTATTACCAAAAAGTGGAAACAAGCTTTGTGTCTAAAGAATGGGAAATGGCTAAATAAAATGAATGTACTAGAATATTAGAACGGTTCATTAGAAAACTCAACCAATCAGCAGTGACTCAGTGCCTCCAGGGCACTCTACCAATGTGCTGGGAATCCTAGTACACGGAGCAAAACAACCCCTAGTCAAAAGGATCTGACATTCTAACAGGAGAGACCTAAGGACACACACAAGGACACGCAAGATAAACTTGTTGTCGTTCAGCCATTCTTCGGTCATGTCCAACTCTTCATGACTCCACTTGGGGTTTTTTGGCAAAAATACTGGAGCAGTTTGGCCTTTTTCTTCTCCTGCTCATTTTATAGATGAGAAAACTGAAACAAACAGGGTTAAGGGACTTGTCGAGGGTCACACAGCTAGTAAATGTCTGAGGCTGAATTTGAACTCAGGAAGATGAATCTTCCTGACTCTAGCCCAGCATTCTATCCACTGCACCACCGAGCTGCCCATGTAATGTAAATATGAAGACATAGATACAAAGTAGCACAATACCTGATCACTGGAAAGAGAAGACATTATCAGTTGAGAAAATCAAGAAAGGCTGCATGCAGAAGGTTCTGCTGAAGCTGAATCTTGAAGGAAGTGAGGCAGAGATGAGGAGAGTGCAGTCCAAGCATGGGGGAATAGCCTCTGCAAAGACAAGGAAAAGAAGAATGGAGTGCCATGGGTGAAGAACAGAACCAAGTTCAGTTTGATTGGATCACAAAGTAAAAGGGAAGGGAAGTAATATGCAATGAGTCTGGGAAGATAAGTTGATTTCAGGCTGTGTAAGGCTTTAAAAGCTAAAATAGAGGGTAGCTAAGTGGCACAGTGGATACAGCACCAGCCCTGGAGTCAGGAAGACCTGAGTTCAAATCTAGCCTCAGGCACTTACTAGCTATATTACTCAGGACAAGTAACTTAACCCCAATTGTTTAAAAAAAAAAGCTAAGTAGATGAGTTTATATTCGATTCTAGAAGAAAGAGAAAGCTGATTAGAGCTGATTGAGTAGGAGAATGACATGGTCAGATCTGCATTTTTAAAAAATCACTTTCAAGCAATGTAGAAGGTAGAATTAGGTAGAGAGAGACTTGAAGTGGGGTGACCAATTAGGAGGTTGTTACAATAACCTAATCAAAAGATAATGAAAGCCTAAATTAAGGTAGTACCTATGTGAGTAAAGCAGAAGAGTCAGATGCCAGAGGTGTTGCAGATGTAGAAACAGAAAGATTTAGCAAACTAATTGGATATGTTAACTGAAAGAGACTGAGGAGTTGAAGACATGCCAAGGTTGCAAACCTGGGACTCTAATAGAATGAGTGTGCCCTCAGCAGAAATAGGGAAGTTTGTAAGGGGTAGAGAATATAACGAGTTCTGTTTTGGACATATTGAATTGGAGATGTCTCTAAGACACCTCTGAAATGTTCAATAGGCAATTGGTGATCTGGAACTGAAGCTTGAGAAAAAGACCAGGGCTGGATATGTAGATTTGCAAGTCACCTACATAGAGATGATAACCCATGAGCTAATGGGAACTGAAGAGATCAGAAAGAAAGAGAAAAGACCAAGGAGACCAGGACAGAAACTCCACTTTTTTCTTTTTAACTTGGTAACTTGTTTCAATACATGATAGGAAGCCACAGCACACTCACAATGAAATCCTCCCTTCCCCTCCCACTCATGTACAGTCCCTGATAATAGTCAAAATCATGGCAAAGAATTGTTATATTTAAAGTATATGCCATTGTACACTAGGTCTTGTGTAAGACCCCCAGTTAGGGAACTTCCCAAAGACAGCAGTCAGACATGTAGGAGGAAAACCAAGAGAAAGACCAAAGAAGAAAGTATATCAAGGATGAGAGAACGTTCAACAGTATCAAGTAAAGCAGATAGGTCAAGGAAAATGAGGACTAAAAGAAGATCATCAGATCTGGAAATTAAGACCTCACTGGTAAGTTTAGAGAGAATAGTTTCAGTAGATCAATAAGGCTGGAAGTCAGATTGCAAAGGGTTGAGGAGCAGTGCAGAGTAGAGTGAATGTAAACAACTTTCTCTAGCAATGGATTTGCAGCCAGAAGATCAGGATTCATGACTCAGTTCTACTCCTTTAATACCTGTGTGACCGTAGACAGTCACTTAACCTCCCTGGGCCCTAGTTACCTCATCTATAAAATGAAGAGGCTGGACTACATGTCCTCTTAAGGTCCCTTCCCACTGTAGATCTATGATCCTATTCACTGCACCTTAAGGAATGATGATTATACAGAATTTAAAGAGCAACAGGAAGACCTGATTGAGCCTGACCTAGAATCAAAGATTCAGAGCTGGAAGGTCATCTACATCTCTCAGTCTACAGATGAGGAAACAGTCACAGAAAGGTTAAGTGACTTGGCCAAAGTCACTTAGCTGTAGGTGTCTGAGGCGAGATTTGAACCCAGGTTTGCCTAACTCCAAATTCAGTGCCCTACCCGCTGTGGCATGCTGTTCTATGGAGCAAACGAAGTAGACCCCAAAAGAACTCTATCCTCAGTGGGTATAATTTATAAACAGCAACCAAACTGAGAAAAAAGACAATGAATGACATTGAAATTTAGAAGGACCCACATGGCCTTGCTACTACAGAAAATTACCTAGTATACAATGGCATATACTTTAAATATAACAATTCTTTGCCATGATTTTGACTATTATCAGGGACTGTACATGAGTGGGAGGGGAAGGGAGGATTTCATTGTGAGTGTGCTGTGGCTTCCTATCACGTATTGAAACAAGTTAACAAGTTAAAAAGAAAAAAGTGGAGTTTCTACCATGCTAAGGTTTCTGTGGGATTTTACTCCTATTTCGTATGTTTGGTTGTTTCTGTTAAAAGTTAAGTTTTTAAAAATTAATCCTGTTATGTTTTGTCCATCTTTTGAATATTCCTTCTTTTTGAAGTCTGAAAGTCACCCAATATTTTAGCAAGTTCTCTTAGTCCTATATCATCCACAAATTTGATAAGCAGGTACTCTAAGTCTTCACTGAAGCTGTTGACTAAAATGTTGAACAGGATAAATCCTTTCAAATACCCACTAGAGAGTCCTTCTTCCATAATGATATTCACCTATTATTACATTTTTGGATACCATAATTCTTCAGTCGTATCTGACTCTTCATAACCCAGTGAACCATACTGTTCATGGGGTTTTCTTGGCAAAGATACTGGAGTGGTTTGCCATTTCCTTCTCCAGTTCATTTTGCAGATGAGGAAACTGAAGCAAACAAGGTTAAGTGACCTGCCCAGGGTCACATAGCTAGGAAGTATCTGAGGCCAGATTTGAACTCAGATCTTCTTGACTCCAGGTACAGCACTGTATCCACTGTGCCTCCTGGCTGCCCCATTTAACCAACTACAAATCTAGATAATTATACTACATAAAACCACATATGGCATTCACTTGGATCTCATAAGCAATTTTCTGGAAGGCTTCACTGAAAGAAACAAAAAAAAGCATGTCTACTCCATTCTTACCAGTATTCATATTTCGGGACATCCATGAATCCATGACCTCATCGATATAGACTCTCCCCCCCACAAGGTTCATATCACAAGCCATAGATACCTTTTCACCCTGTGTCTTGGGAGAGCCCACTAGTCAACTCTAGGGTTCCTATTGTACTTAGGTTGATTATGGAAGCATTATACAGTCACAATCTGGTACAGCCTTTACCCAAGGAACCTGGCAAATTAAATGGCCAAACATTTTAATTGAACAAACAACATGGAAATAAAAAACATGAAGTGGGCTCACTCTTAGCTCCCACAAACTAATGAAAACAGTATCTCATAGACTCATAAACCTATAGAGAAAAGTAACCAATCTCCCAATCAGAAAGCTGAGAAGACGGAAGTCTTTCTCTGTGGCAAGTGTACCTGTTACGACTAAAATATCTATCTCAAGGGCAGTTAGGTGGCACAGTGAATAGAGCACCAGCCCTGGAGTCAGGAGGACCTGATTTCAAATTCGGTCTCAGACCAGACACTTGACACTTACTAGCTTTGTGACCTTGGGCAAGTCACTTAATCCCAACTGCCTCACCAAAAAAATAAAATAAAATATCTATCTCCACGGGCAGTTCCTTATCTCCTCATTTATCATTTGACAAAGCTCTGCCTCCTTAGATCAGTCTGGGAAGGGAAGACCCTCAGGCATCCAGGGCCATCTCCAGTTGTCCTGATTCATATCTCACCACTGGACCCAGATGGCTCCAGAGGAGAAAGTAAGGCTGGTGACTTTGGACAGCCCTTCCTCACTTGAATCCAATTCACTTGCAAGTCATGGCATCCCCTTCCTTTTGCCATGGTCCTCTTGGAGAACAAAGGACAAACAACACCACCTTTCTCAGATGTTACTCGTAGATATTACTCTGTCTCTGCAATTGGCACTTTGCCTGCCTCAAAAGCTGTCTTTCCTGGACCTAAGACTCCATAGCAGTCACTCTCCTGGGCTCTCCCTCTAGAGGCGTCACTCAGGGGGTCTTCTGCACTCCATCTTCATAGATGCTGCCTCAGGCTGCTTCAGGTTTCTTAGCCGTCAATTGTTGAGGCGCTGATCCACAGGAAAGTGTTATTACTCTCTTCGAAGTGAATAGTAACTGGTTAATGAGAGAGACCCAAAACTCACTCAGAACCCTCATGTCTTTAGAATGAAAATCTTTTCTTTGGGAAAAAATTCAAAAGTATTATACTTGGTGAGAACTAGTATCACAAAAAATGAACCCAATATTTTACTAAACAGGAAATGAGTGATTGCTAAGGTGTGAATCATTCTTGAACTAGCTGTCTATGTCCAGTCAAACCACTGATGCCTTGGAGCAATGATCACAATTAATATAAAATTAGAAGAAAGCATTAAAATGAGAAAAAGATATGATATACAATGAAAAACCTCCAATCTGACCTATTTAAATATATTATACAAAAAAATGAGAAATAGATGGAGGAAAGGACATTGATATTAATTATAACAGTTTCATGAAGAAGTATAACCAAAGTACATCAATTGCCATAAAGATGAAACCCAAAAAGCCTAAAAACTGACTTTGTCAGCAATGACTTCATCTACTTACCACAGAGTGATATGATCACCAAGGAAAACAAGATTGCTTGTAAAATATTAAAGAGAAGGATTAGGAAAGTATTGCCTCACTAAGTGAGTGGAAGTTAACACAAGTTTAAAGAAAGCTTAGCAAGAGACTCAATTAAGCAAAGGCATTCTGAGGACATTTCAGAGTGAAACTGGAAGAACAACAGAGGACAGAGGGACAGAATCTTAAAGATTTTTATAGCAAATTCTTTTCACCATCAAAGACATTGAAGTCACCACAATCCTGGATTGCCTTTTAAGGAAGTAGAAATGGCATTTAAGGCAACAAAGATGGAAAAGCAGACATACTAGATCAGGAATATACAAAGAGGGTCTGTGCTATAGGGAAAATAATTTTAAGGGCACTGAGGGATCAATTCTCCAAGTACTTGGAGAGAGGAAAATAAAAAAAGGCAAGGATAAAAATCTCGGACTTGAGCATTACCCCAAAATAAGTGACCAAGAAAGCATTAATGACCACAACTCATCCCTACTTAACCAT